TGGAAGTGAATGGTTGCCAGTTTCCCACATAAAAAAAGCTTTCTCTACTCATATTTTACTTGTTTCAAACCTTTAAGAGTTTGTTTCTACTGTTCAACAGAAAAAAAAGATAGCTCAAAAAATGTTGAAAACCGGTAACCATTGACTTCCATAGTATTTGTTTTTCCTATTATGGAAGTGAATGGTTGCTGGTTTCCAACATTTTTCAAAATATCTTCTCTACTTATCCTTTACTCAATTCAAACCTTTATGAGTTTGTTTCTACTGTTTAACACAAAATAAGATATTTTGAAGAATGTTGAAAACTGGTAATCATTCACTTCTGTAGTATTTGTTTTCCTACTATGGAAGTGAATGGTTGCCAGTTTCCCACATAAAAAAGCTTTCTCCACTCATATTTTACTTGTTTCAAACCTTTATGAGTTTGTTTCTACTGTTCAACAGAAAAAAAGATAGCTCAAAAAACGTTGAAAACCGGTAACCATTGACTTCCATAGTATTTGCTTTTCCTATTATGGAAGTGAATGGTTCCTGGTTTCCCACATTTTTCAAAATATGTTCTCTACTCATCCTTTACTCATTTCAAACCTTTATGCTTTTGTTTCCACTGTTTAACACAAAAGAAGATATTTTGAAAAATGTGGAAAACCGGTAACCATTGACTTTCATAGTATTTGTTTTTCCTACTATGAAATTGAATGGTTACTAGTTTTCCACATTTCTCAAAATCTCCTCTCTACCCATTCTTTACTCATTTCAAACCTTTATGAGTTTGTTTCTACAAAAGAAGATATTTTGAAGAATAATGAAAACTATGGACTTTCATAGCATTTGTTTTTCCAACTAAAGAAGTGAATGGTTAGCGGTTTCCAACATTTTTCAAAATATCTTCTTTTGTGTTCAATCAAATGAAATAAAGGATGAGTAAACAATGTCAGAATTGTATTTTTGCAGTATACTCTCCCATTAACCAGCCAGCAAGATGTTCTTTTATACATAAAACTCCAACAATCAATGTTTTTTATTATTTTAGGAGAATAAACTCACCACGCCCCACCACAGAGCATCAGCATAGCTGGAGAAACCTGTCTTCCCTTCTTCATCTACTGCATCTTTTTCAGCCAAATACACAAAATACGATGAGAAGATCAGACCCAGGAACCCGATGTACAGTGTGGTGATCAGCTCCTGAAATGTAGGAAAACAGTTCAGAAATAAACAGATTAACATTCGTTTCCATTAGATATATACAGTAATACAAAGTCATACAAAGTTGAATTTATTAAGTCTGATTAATGTAAGTTAGGATGACTAGAAATGAACATTTAAGTCAGGTAGATTGTTTTATGTCCTTTTAATTAAAATTATACTTTCAATTCTATTAATATTTCATTCAAAACACACACCACGGATGTTAATATTGCTTATATTTAATGTAAATTAAAGAATATATATATATATAAGTTTTTTATATAATTTATATAAGTTTTTGCTTTGTATTTTCTTTTAAAAACACACAGCAGATGTTATTATGGCTTATATTAATTTAGTTTTTTTAACAGTGTATGATCTTGTTTTAAAATGCAACGAGCCACAATTTTTAAAATCTATTTTATGGTCTTAAATTTGTAAGGCTGCACAGAAAAAGCATTTTTTTAAACTATAGATACTCCATTTAATCTGTAAATTAATGTGACACCGCATAAACTGTGTTTAAATGAACAAAACATTGAGGGCCCTATCATACACCCGGCGCAGTGCGGCGCAAGACGCGGCGCAATAGTCTTTTGGTAGTTTCAGCTTGGCGCAAGAGTGGTTTTGAGGCGTTGCGCTATGCTGTTTAAATAGCAAATGCATTAGCGCTCATATGTGCGCCCATAGGTGTTCTGCTCTAAAAAGGGAGGCGTTCTGAGGCGGACCGCTGGCGCGTCGCTATTTTGAGAAACTAAAATAGATTTTTTATTAGACCAAAACAAACCCGGTCTAAACTCCAGCGCAGAGTTGCGCCCTGCTTACACACTGCTTAATACACACAAGAGAGCAATAGGCAAATATCTTTACATATGAAAACATTTAAATATTAAGGATATATATAGGATATAATAAGAATAGATATAGAATATAAATATAAAGGATTAAAATATTACAAAACATATTATTTTCTAGCCTACATAAATATGAAAAATCACTGCTTTTGTGTCTTCTTCATCTCTGGAGGCTTTTTCAGTTCATCCATAACAATTTGCTTTGTATAATGTTATTATTATTAGCAGTGTTATTTATTATATCCATATTTATATTTGTTTTATTAAAAACAAGCTTAGATTTGCCCACCTGTCAGGTTTTAGACCATATGGGGCATGGCAGGTGTATTTGGAAATAACTGAGTATTTTGAGCACACTTGGTCTTTATTGTTCATTTATTCGTTTGCTGGAAATTAGAACTGAATTTAGAAATAGTTTTGAAACAAATCTTTGCGCTTAACAAACGAAATTAATTATTTATAGGCTAATTGACGTCTGTGTAAAGGTTTCCCTATCCAAGAGCGAAAGTGAAAGTAGATTCATGATCTCTCATTCTCACGCAGTAGATGCTCTGTTTAACTGTGAACTGTTAAAAAACTGTCAACTGTGAACTGTTTGCTTGTGAAATGCTCAGTTTTTCCACTTAGACTTACTTTGCGTCCTGTAAATAGCGAATGCGCTTATGGCGCGACGCAGCTGGTTCTTAAAGGGAATGGGAGATGAGACTCTGATTGGTTTATTCTCAAAACACACCTATAACTCACTAAGAAAATAAACTCGACCCTTTTCGACCATGAACCACTGCGCAAGGCAGATTTCCCGTCCTTAAATTAGCAAAAACGCGTCCTGACACGCCCTGAAAGCCTTTGCGCCCTGCGTTTTGCGCTCTGCTCATGGACCGTCAAAATAGAGCCCTGATTGATTGATTGATTGATTGGTTGATTGGTTGATTGATTGATTGATTGATTGATTGATTGATTGATTGATTGATTGATTGATTGATTGATTATTGGTCTGGGACTGATCAAATCATTTTAAAATATAATTATAATTTTTTTAATGCAATATACTGTATATTCAGGACTAAGAAGAAAATTAAAGCAAAGAAAGTCGCCACAGCGGAATGAACCGCCAAGTTATCCAGCATATGTTTTACGCAGCGGTTGTCCTTCCAGCTGCAACCCATCCCTGGGAAACATCCAAACACACTTAATCACACACACACACACACACACACACACACACACACACACACACACACACACACACACACTACGGTCAATTGTAGCATACCCAATTCCCCTATCCCACATGTGTTTGGGCTGTGGGGCAAACCGGACCACCCGGAGGAAACCCACGCCAACACGGGGAGAACATGCAAACTCCACACAGAAACGCCAACTGAGGCTCGAACCAGCGACCTTCTTGCTGTGAAGTGATCGTGCTACTCACTGCTCAACAATGTTGAACAAGTGCAAAACATGTCATGCTGGTTGAACTGAATGAAACTTTTTTTCTCCTAATGCCCATATTATGCTATAAGCTGATTTCCTCTCTCATGCTGCAGCAGAGGACATGGCGCACGCAGTATAAAAGCACCTTAAAAGGCAAACCCTAAGCCGGTGTGAATGAATTAGCCCAATCATGCCTGATCCGCAGAGAACTTCAGCTCTTTCATAAGACCTGCGTCAACGGTGAAGTGACCAAGAAAATGTGTGCAGGTTTCATGTGTAAAGCCTCAGATCAGCGAAGGCATTAGACTATCATTATGTGATTTGGTGAGGCCCTATTTGGAGTGAAATCAGTGGGTTTCATCGAACTGTAAGATATTAAAGTGATGGATCAATGAACGTTTGCTGGTCGTTTATTCACGCGCAGGGTTTGCCCGAGATGTCATCTTCAGAATAACATTAAAGAAGATTTTCAGCTGAAAGTGGGGTCTTTGGTGGTTATATATTATATTTAACAGTATTTACAACACTTTGTTAATGAATGCTGTATTGTAGTGTTTAGTATATTATAGTGAACTGATGAACTATAACAAATACTGTAGTATACTTTAGTTTAACTACAGTAAACTGTGGTGTGTTGCAGTATTGAGTCATTTGTTGTTGTTGTTATTGAGTTAGCATAGCAACTATAGAAAAACCACAACATACTGCTGTAGTTGTTATCACCATAGGAACTATATAATTACCACAACAGAATAATTAGTATAGTTGCTGCGTTACCATGACAACTATAGAATTACCACAACATATTACTAGTTGTTATTACCATAGCAACTATAGAATTACCACAACATATTACTAGTTGTTACCATAGCAACTACAGAACAACCACAACATATTACTATAGTTGTTGCGTTACCATGCCAACTATAGAACAACCACAACATATTACTATAGTTGTTGCGTCACCATGCCAACTATAGAATTATTACAACATATTACTATAGTTGTTGCGTCACTATGCCAACTATAGAATTATTACAACATATTACTATAGTTAATGCGTTACCATAGCAACTATAGAATTACCACAACATATTACTAGTTGTTGTTACCATAGCAACTATAGAATTACCACAACATATTACTAGTTGTTGTTACCATCGCAACTATAGAATTACCACAACATATTACTAGTTGTTGTTACCATAGCAACTATAGAATTACCACAACATATTACTAGTTGTTGTTACCATAGTAACTACAACATTACCACAAAAGATTAATTACTATATTTGTTGCGTTACCATAGCAACTATAGAATGACCATAAAATATTAGTTGTTGTTACCATAGCAATTATAAAATTACCACAACAGATTAATTATTAGTTGTTGCATTACCATAGCCACTACAGAATCCCCACAACAGATCACTTACTTTAGATGTTGTGTTACTATAGCAACTATAGAATCACCACAACTGATCAATTACTGTAGTTGTGTTACCATTGCAACTACAGAATCCACACAACTAATCAATTACTACAGTTGTTCTACCATAGCAACTTCGGAATCCCCACGACAGATCTCTTACTTTAGTTGTTGTGTTACCTTAGCAACTACAGAATCACCACAACAGATCACTTACTTTAGTTGTTGTGTTACCTTAGCAACTACAGAATCACCACAACAGATCACTTACTTTAGTTGTTGTGTTACCTTAGCAACTACAGAATCACCACAATAGATAAATTACTATAATTGTGTTACCATATCAACAAGATATGAATCACAACAACCAACTAATTACTACAGTTGTTGTGTTACTATAGCAACTGTAGAATCACCACAATAGATCAATTACTATAGTTGTTATGTTACCATAGCAACTGTAGTATCGCCACAACACATCAATTACTATAATTGTGTTACCATAGCAACTGTAGAATCACCAAAGATCAATTACTCCTGTTGTTGCATTATTATAGCAACTGTAGAATTACAACTGATCAATTACTAGAAGTGTTGTGCTGCCATAGCAACTATAGAATTACCACAACTGATCAATTACTATAGTTGTGTTACTATAACAACCACAGAATCCCCACAACAGATGCCTTAATTTAGATGTTATGTTACCATAGCAATTATAGAATCACAACAGATCAAGTACTTTATTTGTGTTACCTTAGCAACTATAGATTGCCCACAACAGATCAATTACTATAGTTGTTACCATAGAAACTAAAGAATCACCACAACAGATCAAGTACTGTAGTTGTGTTACCATAGCAACTATAGAATGCCCACAACAGATCAATTACTATAGTTGTTACCATAGAAACTATAGAATCACCAAAACAGATCAAGTACTATAGTTGTTGTGTTACTATAGCAACTAGAATCCCAACAGATTTATTCAAGTACTTTATGCATGGTTCAAAAACACTACATTATTTACTATAAATTACCATAGTATTTTTTCATATGGTGAATTATCAGCCAATGGGGTGAAACATACCCCACTTAGATGAGTTTTTGATCATAGTAACAAAACCAGGCCTGAACTTTTAAATGCATGAATGAAACGCACCTGCCGATGGATAAAAACCACTGATCCCAGAAGCCTCCACGTTCCTCCCTGCCGATCCACATGCAGCATCCGCAAGATCTGGAGGAAGCGGATCCCTCTGTAAGCATGGAGATTTAATCAGCATATTAGAATAAACAGCAGTGAAAGATGATCATAATATCTGATGATATTTCAGTGGTACCTGATTGCAGACGTGGCAAACACTTGTCCATTAGAGCCGACGCTGAGAACAACAACAGATGCCACGACCACGATTAGATCTGTGATATAAGTAGAAGAACAGGTCAAAATGAAGAACTGCAGCAAAATCTATTTTTTTCTTTAGCTTATGTAAACAGTTATAAAAATATACAAACTAAAACGGTATATATGAAACATATACAACATTATGTTGAAGGGAAATGTTTTTAAAATATTAAAGTATAAAAATACTCAAAACAAGTAATTAATAAATAAAATATTGAAGTTTAAAAATAAAAAAAATCAACATTAGTAATGAACCTGAAGAAATATAATGATAATAACTATTATTATTATTTATTTTTTGATTTGACTGTCAAAATTGAAGACGTTTTAGTAACGTTTTACAAATAACCTTTTTTTAAATGTTGAATTTAAATCCAGAAAGAAAACGCAAGTAAAAAATAAATATAACTTTAATATATTTTTTTATTTAAATTAGCTGATTTAACCAGATTTAAAACATATACATTTATAACTAAAACTAATACTAATTTTGAACACATAAAACAAATAAAATAAATTGAAGCTGTTTTAGATGTTGTATTTAAATCCAGAAAAAAATATAGGAAAAAAAAACTTCAATATTTTTATTAATTAGAATTTTAACCCAGTTAAAATATATTAATTAAAACTTATATACTATTTTTTGCAAAACAAGTAAATTAACATTACATAAAAAAAATATTAGTACTGGAAAAATGAATATATTTATATAAATATAAAAACAAATTAAATAAAAGTTAAATTAAAAATAATAATAATGAAATGAAATAAAAATAAAATAAAACATGAATGAAATAAAATCCTTTTACATAAATATAAAAAGTTAAAATAATAATTTTAAAAAATGAAACAAAATAAAAAAATTAATTAAATAAAATGAAATAAAATTAAACTAAATAAAAAAAATTATAAAATGAAATGAAATAAAAATAATAATAAATAAATAAAAAACAAAATAGAAAATAAAAAAATGAAATAAAAAATTAAATGAAACAAAAAATAATAATAAATAAACAAAATAAACTTTTTTTAAAATGAAGCAAAATAAATTAAAATAAATGAATGAATAAATTAATCTATATAAATATAAAAAGTAAAAAATATATTTTTTTAAATAATAACAAATTTAAAAAAAAATATTTTTTTACAAAATAAAAAAAAAAAACTTAAGAAAAAAGTCCCAGCGTTAGAAATGAACCTTATTTAACATAACACTTTTCCAAATCAATTTTTGGATTTATTAGAGAACCAGATTCCAAATACAAATGTTGGCTTTATATCCAGAATTGAATGTAATGTCGCATCACATGACACCAATACTGCATTCTGCTCCACATGTTATTTTTGCTGAGAAATGAACATGCAGCCTATAATCAATAAGCACCTATAATGGAGATGGGTTTCCTGATGAAGCGCAGACGGCCTTTAATGCCCACATATTTGCTCCGGCAGCCTGCAGACCAGAGCCGCACCACATACTCAGTCCCGAAAAACACCACCAGCACAATCTCCTGTACAGAGGACAAACACAACCCATATTCAAGGCTAGAAAAAGACAGATTTCACTAGGACTGCACAATATTGGAAAAACCTGATGCGTTCTTGGGATATTTTATTTTTCTGCAATATACAATGAAATATAAATACAGTTTCACCCGACGGTTTGAATAGCTCCATTAAACGTCTTTCCAAGTCTAACAGTATTCAGGAACAGAAACTGAATACTCACAATGCAAACAATGCTTTTCTTTCTTACGTTTTTTGTCTCGTTTCTAGTCCAAATATATAAAAATTTATTGGGATTTTTCTTAAAACAAGCAAAATAATGCAATGTGACTATAACAAATGTGCACATAGCGATTTCAGTGCTGAAACAATACATTATGCAGTACTACATTTCAGTAACACTTCAGTATCTACTGGATTGATAAAGATATTATGTTCATTAGTAGTTATAAAGCATGAACTTATTCTGCATTTCTAATAAACCTAAACACAATTTACAGCTTACCAACTATAAGTAAGCAGCAAATTGAAGATTATTAAGCTAGTAATGGTTTGTTAATACTGCGAATTGTGACCTAAACTAAAGTGTTACTCACATTTCACTTCGATAATGTTTAGAGTCACTATTGAGATATCCGACTTGACTGCGGATTATTAAATTAATTGAAAAATGTAAACAAAATTAAAAGATTTAGACCTTATTCTGATTCCATATTGCAAATCATTGGATTTAAAATATTATTTGTTAAAATACAAATAAAAAAATGAGATGTTGACTAAGGTTATATTGAGATCTCAGAATTAATTTGCTTATTTTATGAGATTAGTTTTTTTTTACATATAGAGTTAAAGTCAAAATTATTCACTCTCCTTTTTGTTTCTTTTTACAATATTTCCCAAATTATGTTCTCAGTATTTCTTTTTTTTTTTTCTTCTGGAGAAAGTCTTCATTGTTTCATTTCGGCTAGAATAAAAGCAGATTTTAATTTTTGTAAACCCATTTTAAGGTCAATATTATTAGTCCCTTTCAGCAATATTAGTTTTGGATTGTCTCCAGAACACACCACTGTTATACAATGACTTGCCTAATTACCCTAACTTTACCCTAATTACCCTCGTTAAGCCTTTAAATGTCACTTTAAGCTGTATAGAAGTGTCTTGAAAAATATCTAATAAAATATTATTTACTGTCATCATGGCAAAAAGAAATTAAATCAGTTATTAGAAATGAGTTATTAAAAATATTATGATTAGAAATTTGCTGAATGAAATCTTTCATTTAAACAGAAATTGGGGGGGAATAGAGTGGGGCGAATAATTCTGACCTCAACTGTATACAAAATAAAATAAAATAAAATAAAATAAAATAAAATAAAATAAAATAAAAAATAATAAAATAAATTAAAAAATAAATAAATAAAATTAAATAAAACAAAAAAATAAATAAAATAAAATAAATAAAATAAAATAAAATGAAAAATAAAAATAAATAAATAAACAAATAAAAATAAAAAATTTAAAAAATAAATAATAAAAAATAAAATAAAATAAAATAATAATAAAAAATAAAATAATAAAATAAAATAAAAAAAATAAAAAATAAAAAATAAAACTAAAAATAAATAAAATAAAATAAAATAAAATAAAATAAATAAAACAAAATAAAATAAAACAAAAAATAAAATAAAATAAATAAATAAATAAAATTTAAAAAAATTAAATAAAAAAAAATAATAAAAAATAAAATAAAATAAAATAGAATAAAATAAAATAAATATTCAAGCATATGCATTCTCAATCTTTCAAAAAAAGCAGAGCCTTTAATGATCATAAAGCATGAATTTGCAGCTATAAATGAATGTTTAGCAGCTCAGATCAGGTCATGACTAATATTTTGAAGTATGACTATACAATTTGCCATCTATGCAAGTCTAAAACTGTAAGTGTGTTAAAGAGATCTTTGTGTATTATCTCACACACATCACGCACACACACTAAATGAGTGCAGAGCAGGTCTGATGAAGTGTTTCTGCCTCGGGGTTTTCAGGTGTCTGAAACTAATCCAGAACTCTGACAGCAGGGTATTTCATCTGCTCTCTCCCTCACACACACACACTCACACATGCCTGTAAAACCCATACATGAGCTCAACTAAGATGTGATGTTGCCATCTGGTGG